AAGATGGTCTGTATTTGGAACATAATGTGTGAAATATACTATTAAAAATAAATTCATTTATACTTTTAAGTATGATTGTATGTTATTTGACAAAACAGTTTTATCATCGTCAAATAACATATCTCTTTTTTTTTTTTTTTTTTTTTTTTTTTTTTCAAATAATACATAAGGTTTTGCGGAAATCTAGTTATATGTTATGCAGTTGAATGTGGGTCTGCGGTGATCTCTCGCGTGCACACACGCATGCCTCACGTAATATGTGCATAGCAAAGCTGTTACAATAAAAACGATAGTTGTAGAATGGTTCTATGCTAAGCAAAGGAAAGTAAAGTACTAACGTGCAAGCAGCATTATCGGTCCAAAGTTGTTTATCTATTCTTTTTTTTCCGAATAATATAAGTTGACGTGTAAAAGGAGACTAGCCCTTTCAGCGTAAAGGTTGTTATCGTTTATGCGTATCAAACGGAAAGAAGCAGGAGACCAAAAGCGTCAAAAATTATTATACGCGAAAATGACTTGCAAATTTCCTCCCGTTTGCAAGGGAAAAAACAAAGCCATGATTAATAAAAAAAAAGCAACAAAAAAATTTTGTTAATCTTCCGCTGTTCATGAAGAATCAAAATATTCGTGTTCAAAGCAATACGAACGATCAATAATACGCCGTAAATCATGTTCGCGAATCAAACATTTCATTTTTCATTCAATTACGCCCGATTCCTGGGCTCGCGCGCCAACAGAAACGAAAGTCTCATTTCTGCGTCCCTTTCTTCGCAGCTACCATTAATACACACACGTACGATTGTTCCCGAGCGTGCACACCAGAGTCCCGTAGCAAAAGACCGTCTGTCCCCTCCCCCTTTGTTATACTGTACTTTTCTGCTGCTCGTGGCCGGCTTTTGTTTATATAACCGCGAAATAAAATGATATCGGCCCTGATATGAGCGTATTAAATCTCCACAGCCTGGTACCTGTAGAATACGTACTGTATACATGCTCAGCCGAGAGAGCGTATAAGAAAGAGTGCGCGCTCAAGCCCAAAGCGAACGGAGTCTGAAGTACTGCACAAGTTGAGCACGCCCATGCAAGTGGCACATACTTATAGCGTATGCATGTAGGTACACTCACAAGCGCTCGCGCGCGCGACCGTGGGGTCCGTGTAAATTCACTTTGGCTGCGATTGCGTAACCGCGCCAGTGCATTGAACAGCAATCGGATCGCTCTCGTCGATTTTCCCGCGCGCGAGATCCCCGAGAGGGAGAGCGGAGCGAAAGAGCCAGCAAGGAGTCCTCATTCTTTTTTAAACACTCTTTGCGTGCCGAGTCGCACGTGAAGCGCGACCAGTGTTTCTTGAGTAGCGGCGGGGTTGACCTTTGCACAGATTCGTGGGAGATCAATCTATTATCACAGATAATAAGGTCAAACACCCTGTTTATGGACGAAATTGTTTTTGATGATCTATATGTGGATAGAATTTAAAAATATTACTTGTCAATGTTAAAATAATACTAAAATGCAGCAAGAAACGTTGAATTAAAATCTTTAGATTGCCACTTTTTCGGACAATCTATCAAAATGTAATTTAAGAAATCTTTGTTGATAAACCAAGAAGTTAGTTGTTAACTAGTTAATAAAATATTTTTAAACTTGAAAAAAAATTTTTTTCGTACATTCAGTTAAAAGTAGATAGTGAAAATTAATTGATCTATGAGTTATTTTGCTCTTTGAACTAATTATGTAGAAACTGAATATACATGAATTACTTAAAATAATATTTCCGTAAACAGGATTCTTTATTTTATGGGATAGCTCGTTTTCTTTTCGGGCATTCTCGCGATTCTTTTCGATACCTTGTTGGAGTTCTTCTTTTTCGCCCGTCTTTTTTTTGAGCAAAAGAGTAACCAGTAGGTATAGGTACTCTTATGTATTATACCTCCCGTAAAATTTTACTAGCTGCGCAAGTGTAGTTTTCCGGCTCGAGTGTGGACTTTCTAAAGTGAGGGCGCGAGGATTTTTTCCTTTTTGTTTTTGAATCGAGTTGCAAAATCACCAGAAGATGTATGTATATTATACCGTGAACTAGAGGGATCCCGAAAACATTTTTTCTGCGAATTTCTGAATTATTATGAAAGCACGATACATTCCATTCGTTTCGACGTTTGTTGAGGCTACTTATCATTTTGAATTCATTGTACTTTTGTTAGTTTGCATTACAGACGGCAAAAGGGTTAAAGGAAGGTCTTTCAGCGAGTCACAATACGCGATAAAAGGAGTGTATTTCAATCGCTCCCTCGGCCATGATATACGACTGATAATCAATTTTTTTTAGTATTTTCTTTCAAAACTTCAAGGTTACATTTTTCAATGTGAGATACATTATGAGGCTAAGGATACTCGAAAGGTACTGTTTTATTCATTACGAATTTAGTCTTTCAAAAAACTAGTATTTAGTACTTCATGATATAAGAAATGAAACGAGACAGATGGTATTTAGGTATCGAAATTACTTGTCGAGAAATTAATGTTGAATTTATCTGTATGATGTCTGAATGTTTTCAAACGGTTTCACACAAAAAGAGACGCAGTTACTTTGGCAAAAAGGGTAAGTTTGAAAGAGTAGAGTTAAAGCTGATGATTTTCAGGGTCGAGGATTTTTTTTAGCCAATTATTATGAAGTACATTGAAAATAGGATAAGTTATTGTCAAGTCGTGGCTTTTCTATGCATGGTTTTACTGAATGAAGCCCCAGTAGTATCAGAAACTCACATGAAATACCGAACGCAATTGCCAAGCATCAGAGGTGTACCAAAATTGGGCGTGTCGACATTACATGCGGTCAGTCTGTATTAATTGCGTCTGTTTCGCTCTCGTCTTTCTCGGCCGTTTTCTCGAGTTACGTACTTTCTCCAGAGGGCACTCTGGCCTCGGTGCAAATAAGAAAGTAAGGATCGAGCCACGGCACAGCAAAGAAAAGAAAATGATAAGAAAGAATTATAAAAAGGAGTGGGAAAAAGTGATCGATCGATCGGCAAAGAACGTTTGATGTGCTCCTTCACGAGATGCTTTTACAACCCATGCATGTATAGCTCGTGACCGATGTAGTGCTGCTCTGATAATTTTTCTTGCTTGAGAGGTCCTCTCCTTCTTCGACTCGTGTCGGATTCTTACCACGACCTCCAAAGCGTTATGAGAACTGTGCTTGTAATACACTGCGATTTAAAACCTCCATGTATATATCGATGCATGTGCTATAACCGTTACCAGACGGAGAGTTTCAATGCCTTTTACGCTAGTTTTTTTTTCGAACCAAGTGCGTTGCTCTAACCTATTACTAGACTGATTATTTATATGCTCAGGTGTTTTATGCCAAGTCAATAACTTTGGCATCATTCCGCATGTCTTTGTTGTCATTATATTGATCGAATTAACGGACGATCGGATATTAAGGACAGTTTATGTAATTGCTCAATCGATGATCACTCGTAACTATAGAACTAAAGGATTTTTTAAAGTAGTATTAAATGAGTTCAAATCAAACAGTATTTATAAATAATAAATAAAAAATATTTAATAGAAGAGGAAATAAAACATTACAAATATTTTTCGAAGTCTGAGATAATTTGGATACCATGTGTGAAAGTGAATAGTCTCTCGAGAAAAAATAAACAGCTACAGACGAGAAAAGTGCTCGAAAACCGAGATTGTCTAGCTGTAAGAAACATTAGTGATCGGGCATACCGTTCCCCTCGCAAATGCGCCGTGTCCTTCACTCCCAGCGTGGCTAGTCAGATCACGACCAGCTCTCGAGTATTCAAAGCGTCCCGGACTCTCAGCAAATTTCTCGGACTTTTCCGTGCTTCTCGGTAACGGTATTCGTATACGAGTAGAAGCATAAGCTCCCCCACGTTCGCGTGTACGTATGCATACGGTACAAATTTCACTTTTCGCACGTGCACCAGATCTCCGGACACAATCGCGAAAGCGCCAAAGAACGGCCGATCGAAAGTCCGGCTCCTTCCCCTGGCCCTTCTCTCCGTCTGTATTACACGCGTTATCGATCGGCGCATTCTTAATGTTTTTTCACGCTCCTACGCATTGAAAATTCTGCTTGCACGTCAGGTACTCGCTAACTTTTCCCTCTCATTGCTGCTGCTATCATGTTTGTTTTACTTTTCACCTGGTTCTAGTAAGTGCATGTTTTCCAAGGCTACGTAGGTACACACGCATACGAGATCATTGCACCCACAAATCCTCGCCTGTATAAAATGAACAGACCAAGTTATCCAATATCTGGGGGAACCCTCTCCTACTCCGCATGCACGAGTATTGTCGTAGTCTGACTACCGTCCCGCGAGATTTTTAACCTGGGATGGTGAAGTGGTCACTTCTCATGGAGGGATCTATTTAGGAAAATAATTTTATACTGAGTGAGTATAGTTGCGATGATAATATTGAAGTTCTATCAAGACCTAACACCTGTCTGAACAATGCACAAATGGTAGTGGAGGACTGAATGATAGTATAACACCATCGACGGTTTTAAAACACATATATGCACCACTATCTCGATTTAAAATGCCGCGCGACGACACCAACGCCCATGGTACATGTTTCGTTGCATCAATTCAGCATTCACAAGACAACTCACTCAGCCTGCTGCAATCACAAGGCCATTAATATATCATCACTTGTTATTCATCATAATCGTCGCGGTAACAATCGCCTGATATACATAATGATACGAGAAATTTAGGGGTGAAGGCTGAGAGTCACTCGGCAGCTTGCTCAGGTTATTATGAAAAACCTTAATGGTCGTGGGGCTTGCGATAATGAGAGTATTGGAATGACTTGACAATATTAATAATAATTAATAATAATAACAGAGAGCTAAACAAGAGAGTGATGAAGTCGATGATGATGGTGACATTATGACGATGACGATGAGGATGGTAATGATTTGGTAATGATGACAAGGATGAGATTATTCAAACACGTGGTAGTGCTCAGAAGCCACCGCGGAGGAACTGGTCGATCTGTCCGATGGAGATCGGCCCGGCGGCGGCCTCAGGCGAGCCCTGCGGCGCCGCCGCCGCAATGTAGTAAAAGTTTTGGCCATCGCGAGGCGCCTCCTGGAGGAACTGTATCTTTTGGGCCTGTTTCTGAGCCGCAGGCTTGACCAGCTGGGCCTGCTGCTGTTGACGGCGCTGCTGCTGAGCGTAGAGCTGGTGAGACTGTTGGAGAAGCTGGCTCTGTTGCTTGCGGAATACGGCCTCTTGAGGCTGGGGTGGTGGCCGCCTCGGCTGAAGCTGGGGCGCGGGCTGTTGAGCGGGCTGGGGCACGGAGGCCGCTGAGCGGTAAATCGGGCTCTGCTGCAGGCTGAGCAGGGGCTGCTGGGCTGTGGCTACGAACGGTTGGAGCTTGTGATTGAGGCTGAAATCGCCGAGGGTTTGCGGCAGTGTCTGATAGAGCTGAGTGTTGTACTGACCGGTCTGGGGGTCGTAGACTAATTCGGATTGGTAGATGGGATCGGGCCGAGCGGACGACGAGAGCTGTTGCGGCGACAGGGAAGTGTTTGGCTTGACAAACCTCGAATGATGCTGCGGCTGGACAACCTGGGGTCGGGGCGTGGGACTGCCCACTGAGTTGACGTATCGTTCGAGCTCGGCTACAAAGTCGAGGTGCTGGCTGGGTGTCGTGGCTGTGGTAGTGGAGTGTACGGGGGTGACGGTGCGAGGTGCAAATACAACGCCGGGTCTCTCAGTGCTACTGGGTGAGACGTACTGGGCAGCTACCTGGGCCACGTGCGGCCGGGGTGTTATTGCCACCGATTGGTGCTGGGCGCGAGTCACGGGGGCCGCGCGTGTGCTCGTTTCTATAGGCTGGTGATAGTAGGTGGACTGGCGTGTGGGCGGCGCGGGACTCGTGGCTGAGTTGTAACGGGGTGCGCTTGCGGTTGAGGCGAGCCGATAGAGGGTCGGACTGGTTGTGGCCGAGTGTGACTGGTACAGGGGGGACGAAGGCTCGGCCACAACTTGTACGAACTGAGGCCGGCGGAAGGCAGAGGGTCGCAACTGCTGCTGGGGCTTAGTAGGCTCCTCTTCAAGCTCTTGGCTGGCGTCGTCATCCACCAGCTGGTACTCGCTCTGGAATATCGTAGTGGGCGCCTTGGCAGTCGTCGAGGGGTAGCTGTTGCTATTTGGCCTCACGGGCCTCAAGCTCACGGGCCTGACTGATGGGTAGTTTGCTGGACCTGAGATATCGTCGGGTTCTTGCTTTTTGGCTAGATCCTCCTCGTCCTCATCCTTAGGGGCGTTAGGGTCGCAGGGGTTTCCGGAGACGTAGGTGAACTCACGCTTGTTGCCATCGGGGTCGATGTAGCCGTACTTGCCACGCACCACGCAGTCCGTGCCGCGGGTCTCCTCCTTAAAGGAACCATCGGCTGCCTCGTAGCCGAAGGTAAAGGAGCCGTCGTCATTGACCTTGTTGTAGTTGCGGATCGTCTGGACTGGGGGTGGCTTTGAGCCCTGAAGCGTGTCCTTGGAGCGAGATGAAGGTAACGCGCGGGTACGAGGTTGATAGGCTACCTGCGAGGCGTAATCATCTGCCTCGGCTGGCTGAGCTTCCTCGTCCTCGTAGTACAACTGCGTTTCCTGTATGCGTGGCCGTAGCTGGACCTTCCGCGCTTGCGTTGACGCCAGCAAAAGTGCTGGAATCACCTGGAAACAAGAATAGATGTCAAGGCCGCTTCGTTGTTTAACAAAAATATAATATTTTGTTGTAAAATTATCCTGGATTTGATTTTGATCTAACTGTAACTTATACTTTACTAGTTTATTAAATTAATTGAGTTTGTTTTAATGAATTGTAAAAAATAAATGACAAGTAGACTGAAAATGATTCATAATAATTCTAAAAAGTTATTTGATAGACTCAACCGTTTCACAAATAAATTTATTTGTTTACATGTTCCGCGTATACGGACATGTTAATACGTTTAGCTCAAGACTCTGTAAAGCATCGTTCTTCAAAAGTTCATAAAACCCATGCTATCTGTTGAGTAAAGCTACAATCATGTGAAAATCACAGCGATCGCTCCAATTTTATAATCGATCCCCCATGAAGCCAAGAAATCACGTCCACCCAGAATTTCTCGATTGCGAAAATACCGTTGTCTTTCGACAACGGCTCGCAACTCAATTTCAATTAAGAGCGAGCCCCTACAATGCATCCTCCACAGACTACGCAGCCATTCGAATTGTCAGCAGAAAGAGAGCGATATCGAAAAGTTAGCGACGTTTTACGGCGTCGTTTGTAGACGTTATTTTTCGCAAAAGATTAATGGCCAGGCCGTAATTAACGGTTTGAAAACTACGGCGCATGTGCGCAGGAGTAATAAAAGCGCGCAGGCGGTCCACCTAGCGCGTGATAGTAGGTAGACACATAATACTTGGCCGTCGTCCAATGTTGCCCAAGCGCCGCCCGTAAAAGTCCATTCTATTCATCCCTCGTCATCGGCACGGTAGCTGAGACGGCGACTTGGCCGTCGTACAGACAGGCTCAAATGAGCCGCTTTTCATAGTAACACTATCGACTGTGATCATGAGCAGGAGGGAGTATAAGTACGTGGAAGAAAAAGGGCGTGTGATCGCTGCTGTTGCTACTTGTGTACCTACACTGCAGCGGCGCTGGCCTGTGTATATTATTACGCACTCATGACACGTTTCTCCGCTGCTACTTTGAGGGGGCTATTGTCGGGACAAACGAACCGATCTGATGCTCGTATTTCGCTCTGTTGCACAGGATATAAGAGGCTTGTTAAACTAAGGAAAATGGCATACGATAATGACAAGCCGTGATTTGATGAAAATTTTGCTCCTCGCGCTATTTTGAATTTCTATCCCCGTGGATGGCTGGAAATTGATAAACGCATTTGAAAAGTCTCATTTGGTGTTATACGTTGCGGAAACTGTAATCCTAGCCGTTCTTACATGTAAATCGTTCAGGTCTCGTTAAAAAAAAAACTCTAAAAAATGAAATCGCATATATTAATCAATATTTAGTTTGTTTTAAAAAAATCTTAAATTACTTTGAAATATATAGAAAAAAGTTCTTTTTATTTAGTAAACAATTCTACTATGGCAGCGAATATCGATAGAAATTGTTTTGAAATCATTCAAAAATTTTGAAAACATGAAATTATTTAGAACTCTCATGTAAGAGTGAACATATCTTAGATCCTAAGTTCTAGAATGACAAAAATCAAGTTTATTCCCGAGCGATGGACTTTATCTAAACTCTCACTTTCTAGCTTCAATTGCACTATGTGAAATCGTTAGTGCTCGTATTTGTAAATCATCAACAGCTGGTTTACATTGGATATTACCCCCTGCGTAACTTTGATACTTTTTCTTTGGCAGCGCTCTCAAGTTAAAAATGTTAGTTGGCAAAATAGAAATCATTCATTAAAACAGGACTTATGTGTCTTTTTTATATCCAAGAGAAATTAAAAGACGTATATAATTTGTTAAGTTGTTTTGATGTTCTACAGTTTTTTTTACGTGTAGTAGTTCGAACAAAATATGTGTTCGGGCTTTTATGCAAAATATTTTGAAAAACTGTCTTTATTGAACATTATTTATATTATATTTGTTATTTTTGTATTTTTTTTTATCAATCTCACATACTTATTAAATTTCAATGTCGATTTCAGTAAATCATAAAACACCCGATAAAAAGTTTATATAAAGACAAACCGTATATTTATCTTAGTGAATTTGTGCGACTTGGCTTATGAGTGGCTATTCATGTTTAGATACAATTAGTTTTGCCTATGCCAAGTACCTAAACATAAAAAAGATTAAAATTATTATTGATCAATCATAATAATGATATTCCAAACTAGTTGTTAAAGAAACAATATGACACATGACTTAAACAAAATTTTAATAATTTGAAAACGTAAAACACGGAAACGATATGAAAAAAAATTTTAATTTTTTAATCAACATCAAAGTATAAGCTTACAATTAAAAAATAATTTTCATTAAAAATTAAGTGGCAGTGTACTTTCTCTACATATAAATAAATGCCTGATAAATAATACATGTATATTATTTACAGGTATAAATAAATGATAAAATAATCCCATGTTAAGCCCTTTCCTCTTAACAAGTACGACCGTATTACAAATTCCCGGGCATTATGCCACACAGTCCGCTCATGCTTTTTCTATATAAGCTAATACAGGCAACAACACCCTGCGGTCCCCGTTCACTGTTGGCGCGCACGAGCGATTTTTCGCGCTGGCCAAGCGCTCTTTCGCATGATAGGCGCGCATAAACAGGGTAAGAGTGAGTTTCACAGATCAGCGAGCCCGCTCCATCCACACGCTGCTGCGCAACTTGCATAAATACATTCTATATAGCTTTCGGCGGCTCCGTGAGAGCGAACCAGCGACCGCGCCCACGTGAATCGGAAGTTCCGGCTCTCTCGGACACGTGTGCGCACGAGGTCCAGAACTCAACTCGCGTGTGTATTAGTGCAGAGGCACTAATCGAATCTGCGCTCCAAGCGATTGTATCTCGAGTTAGAGCCTGCACGAGTTGACGCGTGAACTCTGGTTCTCGATTCTTTTGCTCAAGGAAGCGGATCTTGCAAATCACAGCGCTTTTTCGCCTCTTGAAGTTGACGTCTGAAATAATGCTGTCGCGTTCTTGATGCACTTTTTTAATTTACTTCTGGGGGAAGTACTGGACTTAGGGAAGTTAAAAAGTATGAAAAAGGTTAGGGGCGATCTGTTATTGTTTGTTACTGCTTGGGGTGTATAAATGTGACGGTATGCATATAAGGTATGATACTCAACAGCAGGTAATGTACAAATCAGGCAGGATATCAAATCGAAAGTGAAACGAATTATATCCCTTTACTGCGCAAAATTAGTTCTTCTTTGATGATTAATCAGTCAATATTCTTACAGGCTATAAATAGTTTCATTTGTTTAATTGATAGTAAAAAGTATTCAAGCTATTTGTTAAAACTATTTTTTATCGTGTGTAACTCAGATCCTAGTTGAAATTTAAAACCAACTTGGTGCTATGTCGATTATATTCCACTATCAGGTATTTTACTTTCGATTGTTACTTCGGGAACACCGGGAGTAATCGAGTTTTGAGACTTGAGAAGCTGATTGCCGGGAGATGAATTATTCCGATAGACCAGCGAGTCTTGCGGAGTTTTGTGGTGCCAGAAAATTATTGATTGAAACCATCGAGTTGCACACGCAGATACTACTGGGGATTGAAAGCGACTATGGACAATCATTAATCTTTGAGGAATTGAAAAAAGAAAGAAATTTCAATTAACTAATCATGAGTACGGATGTACAGAATATAAGTACAAAATGGCACTGTAATGTATTTTTTGATCGTGCACACCTTTTATAATACACCCGAGTTACGTAACGAGAAAATATTTTTGGTGAAATCTCAAAAGAGCGCTCAGTGTGAAATTGCAAGGATTCAGCCCTGGCGTGCTGGCGGACGTTGTGCAATTTTGAGATTGATGTAAAGCGTAAATGAAAGCAAACCATGCAAATTACGTGACGTGTAATGGTATTGAGTGCACTCCACCAAAAACGGAAAAAAGGCAACCTCCCGACCAACCACGGGTTTCTTCAAGGCTGCATGCTGTAATTAATGTGTTCGAGGGAAAGCCTCGCGCGGTAATTGCAATGCGGCCAAAGCCTTTTTTCTCTCTTTCCTCTTTCTCGGAGAAAAATCGATTTATCAGGACCAAGGAATGTTAAGTACACATAAACATATAATGCGCGTACACGCGATAGCACGTGGGTTTGCGGCTGTAACCCAGAATGGTGGGATAAATATATGAAATTTCCACAGTTTCGATCCGAATGTTTGGCCCAAACAATCGCAATCGCGTGAGAACGAGCCAGCGGCCATTCATCATCAATGAAATCGAAGAGATAAACTCCGTATGCCTACGTACGTACATGAGCTAGTCGCCAAGACATATTAGAATAATTCAGGGTTCACAGGTCGATAAGCGCATTACCAAGCACAATATAAATGTGTATGCATATGGGCAACGCATAAGCGAACGCAAAATAATATAGCCGAGCGCAAGCGCGACACAAAAGAAAACGAGTCGTGGCTAAAAAACGCGAAACTCCCACGCCACTGGGGCACCCACATATATATGTGCTCATACATATGAGGTTGAGGTGTACTTGCTGCCGCGCAAGAGAGAGAGAGAGAGAGCGCGCACGCCTGCCCGTCCGGCTCGCTGGGGCACGAAAACGCCAATTATCGGCGTCAATCACGATCAGCGATTGCTCTGAACCGATTCTTTCGCTTGCTATGCACGTGTATTCCCCTTTTTTCCTTCGTATGACGGATTGGCAGAAAAAAAGACAACAGACCTCGTACAGGCAGAGCTATTATGTGTACTTCTCCCCGGCTTACATCGCCGGCTCATTTGCATTTTGAAATTGGCTAATAAGATAATATACGACGACGAGCTGGACAACCACATGGATGACAAGGGAGGCATATACTCCAGGTATAGGTTTAGCGGAGGGACTTCCGGCAAAGTGCTCGGTGGGAACGCCCCGATCGACAGTGTATGTATGAGGCTGCAGCGACTCTCGCTTGTGCAATCTTCTCTCTCACTCTGACCCGAATCCCCAAGACTTATCCTC